TTTTTCCCCACAATAAAAAAAAATGACAAATGAAAATTGTCAATTGAATTTATCTACAGAGAGGTTATTAGTGACCTTGTCAAGAATATGGCTTGAAAGAGTATTGGGGGATGAGGCCTAGTTGAGATGGTTGAAGAGTGGCAGGCAGGTAAGTATACTATTATTTCAGAGTTTCATTGTTAAGGGAAATAGGGAAATAGAAGATAAAGGTAATTTTTTGTTGTTTTTTAAGAGAAACTATAGCATTTTTGAATATCCAGTGGAGAAGGAGAGATGGATCAGTTGAGGCCCCTCAGAAAAAAGGGAGCAGATGAAGTACACAGCATAAGAATGTTTCTATTTGACAGTTGTTAGGACTGGGGGATAGAGAGAGAAGTCTTCTTATTGATCCTGCAGCATGGTAAAGGTGGTAAATTAGTAAGATGGACAGCCTCACACCTGATTTGCCTGGACAGATTGTTAACATGGGTCCACACTGAAATGCGTAGATATGGAGCCAAGATTGTGCAGAAAAGACACAGTGCACAAACAGCTCTTGCTCATTTTTTTCTGAGAAAAGAAGGCCAAAAGGCTGCAAGCCCAACTCTGTAGACATATCTGGGAAGGGGAAAGTCTTCATACCTCTCTCTATTGAGAAACAAAAACTCATTCAAGTAACAGACAAAGCAGGAAGTTTGGCTGCTACAGACCATGCTATTAATCAGAGCTTCTTCCAACCTTAAAAGGAATAAATATTAGGGAATGTCAGAATGAGAACAGATATTGATGTCTGTTCCATATTAAATGAGGTAGTGTAAGATTTTATCTTAAGTCTAATATTTTTAGAGGTTGGCTGAGAATGAGTAGGTAATCAATGTGTGTAGCACATGGGAAAACTCCCAAGTGAATTTGTTTGGAAACTTGGAAGTCTAGCTTTAAAAGGTATTTCATGAGTGATATGAACTTTACTCTCCAGTGGCACTCAAATTTTTCTGATCAACATAGTTCTTGGAGGTATTGCAAGACTCAACTTCTCCAACTCACTCCCTTTTCTTTCTTTTTTTTTTTTATCTGTCCTGTGGTAATATTGTAGATACGGATAATTATTTATAGCTATATTTTCTTTTTTCCTAAAATGCTGATAATCATTTGTAATATAAGGGACATTTTTATTAAGATATTTTTGGCACGCTAATCATTTCTTTGAGACTGACCGTGTGTCCTTCCTTACTTAAACAATAATACAGTATCTGTTTAGCCTGAATTGGGACACAATCTCTAGAAGGTATAAATATGTTCTAAGAAATATACAAATATATTGTAAGTTCTATGTTTGGAAATAATAAATTTTATTCATGCATTTATTCAACAAATATTTATTTGTTGTTTACTTTCTCATAAGCACTTTGTTACACTTCATTTACATCGGTAAATATAATGGTTTCTGACCTCAGGGAGCTTCTGGTTTACTGAAGGAGTCTAGATTTAAACAAATAACCACAGAATTTGTATAATTACAATAATAATAAATTCTATGAACAAAAAGGGTGCTATGAAAGCATATGACAGGGGCAACCTAAGATGGTTTGGGGAATTGGGGAGACTTCCCTGAGGAGATGACATTTAATCTGAGACCAGAAGGACACTTAGGAATTAGCCCTGTGAAGTTGTGGTAGAGAGAGGAGTGTAGAAAGTGAGAAGTAGTAGACAAAACAGAGACTTTGAGGTGAGAAGAAGCGTGGCCTATTTCAAGAAGAGATGGAAGGCCAGATGGACTGGAACAAGCCAGAGGTAGAGGAAGAGCTCCATGAGATAACTTCAGTAGGTAGCCCAAGATCACAATCATTGTCAAGCAGTGCTGAAAGTTCTAAGCAACAGACATGATTAGAGTTATACTTTTAAAAGTCACTGTGTGGAGAAGTTATTCTCTAGGACAAAGATCTGTAGACTTTTTCTGTAAAAGTCCATATAGTAATTACATTAGGTTTTGCAGGCCATATGGTCTGTTGCAGCTACTCAATTCTCCATATACTATGGAAGGTAGCCACAGGCATATACAATTAATGATCCTGGTGGTGTTCCAATAAAACTTTACTTATGGATGCTGAAATTTGAATTTTGTATAATTTCCATGTGTCATGAAATATTCTTCTTTTGATTTTTTTAACCATTTTAAAATATGAAAACCATTCTTAGTTCATAGGCTATACAAAGACAGGTGGTGGGCTAAATTTGGCTTGCAGGCCATGGTTTTTTGACTTATGTTATAGGACTTATATTTCTTATTTTAACTTTTTCTGCTCTGCTTCTTAAATGATAGTTCGGTTCTATTGTGACATTTTTCTTAAGTTTTCTACAGTTTTTTCAACACTTTGTTAAAGGTATGACCAATGCTAAATAAAAAAATGGGTATATAACCTCTCCTTTTCTATTTTTTTTTAAATCTTACTGTTATATTTTTCATTTAAAAATCATGGTAATAAGATTGACCCATTCTATTTTTTTAATCCTCAGGCTTTTTTTAAAAAGGGTAATTTCATATTTTTCCTGTTTTATTTTTCTTCCCAAAGTGTTACACTTGGTGCTTCCTTCTTTTGAACCTGACATTGTGTTTTTTCATCTTTTCTTTACCTGGTAATAGTTCTTCTAAAATGTAACTCTGGCATTCTAAAGAAAAAATGGTACAGATGTCAGAAAAACAAAGCATCACAATTGCATGCAGCCATCTGTTGTGTGACTAGATGAAGTACTTTGTTTACATCGAGATAAACAACATCCATATAATTTCAGATCTACAAATATAATATTCTGACTCAAGAGGGAATTTCTGGTTGCTTTCTTGTAGTGCACTATTCAAGCAGCTGCTCCACACAAGATGCTGGAAAGCATTATGTAGTATAAATAGTACAGACAGATCTGGTCCAAATTCCACCTGACCCTTACTAGATGTATTGTTTTGGGCAACTAACTTAATTTCTTGGAGCCTAAGTTTTCCTAAAGCATTCAGTGAATGGGAATTCCCATCCACCTTTTCCCCTTTAAGCATAATCTCTTATCATATGGAAGTAGCCATGTTAAAGGATATGGGGCGGGAGGGTGGAAGGGGAGCTGGCTGGTTAGCTCAGTTGGGTAGAGCACAGTGTTATAACACCAAGGTAAAGGGTTCAGATACCCGTACTGGCCAGCTGCAAAAAAAAAAAAGTGTTACTTACCTGACTCTCATCTTGTCAGGGACAATAACCAGAACCCAGTGTCTGCTACTGTCAGCTTCTCCTCCCAACCAGTAGCCACCATGTGTGAGTGCATCTCCATCCACATTGGCCAGGCTGATGTCGAGATTGGCAGTGCCTGCTGGGAGCTGTACTGCCCAGAACATGGCATCCGGCCTGATGGCCAGTTGCCAAGCGATAAGACCACTGGGGAAGAAGGTGACTCCCTTCAACACCTTCTTCAGCAAGACGTGCACTGGCAAGCATATGCCCAGGGCAGTGTTTGTGGACCTGGAACCCACAGTCATTGATGAAGTTCACACTGGCACATACTTCCAACTCTTCCACCCTGAGCATCTCAGCACAGGCATAGAAAATGCTGCCATTTAACTATGTCTGTGGCCACTACATCATTGGCAAGGAGAACATTGACCTCGTCTTGGACAGAATTAGCAGGCTGTCTGACAAGTGTACAGGTCTTCAGGGCTTCTTGGTTTTCCACAGCTTTGGTTGAGGAACTGGTTCTGGGTTCATCTCCCTGCTGATGGAATGTCTCTCTATTGATTATGACAAGAAGTCCATTTACCCAGCCCCCCAGGTTTCCACAGCTTTAGTTGAGCTCTGCAACTCCATTCTCACCACCCACACTACCCTGGAGCTCGCTGATTGTGCGTTATGGTAGACAATGAGACCATCTAGGACGTCTATCGTGGAAACCTCAGCATTGAGTGCCCAACCTACACTAACTTTAACTTCCTTATTAGCCAGATTGTGTCCTCTATTACTACTTGCTTCAGATTTGATGGAGCCTTGAATGTTGATCTGACAGAATTCCAGACCAACCTGGAATTCCCTGCATCCATTTCCCTCTGGTCACATATGCCCCAGTTATCTCTGCTGAGAAAGCCTACCATGAACGGTTTTCTGTAGCAGAGATCACCAATGTTTGCTTTGAGCCAGCCAACCAGATGGTAAAATATGACCCTCACCGTGGTAAATACATGGCTTGCTGCCTGATGTGGTTCCCAAAGATGTCAGTGCTGCCATTGCCACCATCAAGACGAAGCACAGCATCCAGTTTATAGATTGGTGCCCCACTGGCTTCAAGGTTGGCATTAGTTGCCAGCCTCCCACTGTGGTTCCTGGTGGAGACTGTCCAAGGTACAGTGAGCTTTGTGCATGCTGAGTAACACACCACCACAGCCATTGCTGAGGTCTGGGCTCGCCTGGATGACAAGTTTCATCTGATTATATGCCAAGCTTGCCTTTGTTCACTGTTACGTGGGTGAGAGGATGGAGGAAGGAGAGTTTTCTCAGGCCGGTGTGGGCATAGCTGCCCTTGAGAAGGATTGCGAGAATGTTGGTGTGGATTCTATTGAAGGAGAGGGTGAGGAAGAAGGAAAGGAATAGTAATTATCTATTCCTTGCAGCCCTGCAGCATGTCATACTCCCAGAACTTCAGCTTCAACATTGACAGGCATTAAAGATTTCTGGTTAGATTGTCTTCACTCAACTGTGATTATGTCTTACTTTTCCATGTGAAGGAACCTGTACAATTTTTGCATCATGTCTCAAAGGAAAGGCTTCAACCAAAATTTTTTTAAAAAGGATTTGGGGAGAAAACAGCTCATATTTTGTGGTAAGAATGTTGGTTTTGGTTTTAACCTTCTGCAGATATGACGTAAAAAAAAATTAGCAATATTTCCAAAATTGATCTAATATACATTTAAAAGATGGTATAGATGATAAATGTCTTCTGTACTTTTCATTAATATTTCCTTTGCCTTATTTATTTTACTTCTGAAAATTTAGGTTTGACAGTTCTCTGGAAGACCTACCTAAGAGTGGACCTCACCCACCTGCAACTCCTCAGGTGTTAAATATTGGTAGCCAAGTAGCCACACTTTCTAAAGTAGCAACTACTTATTCTAGGTAGAGTTTTTCCTTTTTGGTACTTCACATTTCAATGCTTGTGGTGAACTTGAATACTAAAACTGTTTGACTGAAAAAAAAAAAAGGGATCATCGATTACAGAACTGACATCATTAATATATAGACAAGAAAGCTTGACATAGCCTCAGAACACTGCTTTACACTGCTTTTGTTTTTATTTTTATTTTTTTAATTTCTAACTTCTAATGTAGAATCAGGAAGTTTGTGTCATTATTTATTCACTTTCTGATTTGGAAAGTCCACATGCTGAGTTTGTCATAAGTCTGGTTTTCTGAATTAGAGCATATACCTCTAAAAAAGAGAAATAGAGGTCATAATATGTTACCAGGAGCCCACACATATTCTCAACGTAGTCAGGTAAATAATTCTGCTTGTAAGATAATGCTTCTGAGACTCTGCTCATACTAAGTGCTTTTATATTATTATTTCAAATGCGATATGATGAAAGAAATTCATTACAGTTTCCTTTTTCTTCTTGCCGGAGAAGGATAATTTAACTGATTTATTTTTAGCTGATTTTTTTTATAGACTATTAGTTTTTATTATGATTTTTTTTATAACTGATTTATTTTTAGCTGATTTTTTTTATAGACTAAACTATTAGTTTTTATTATTCATCATTACTTCCCCCAAATAGTTACCATTGCCTCAAAGATGCGGAGTAATTCAGAAACTCAGGAGTTGAATCAGTAGGTAACTTTATTCTTCCCCTTGACACTCCTATTACTGCTCTGCCATTGGTAGCATCTTTTTCTCTTTCTATCCCCATTCTTTCCTTTCTAACCATAGCAACAGTTGTTAAAACATAGTCATACCATTCAATTTAATGGATAGACTTGGGGAAAAAAAAAACCCAACTATACATAAAGTTAAATAATTTTGTATAATTTTTTAAAAAATAGCTTGACACTGTTTCTTTAATTTTCCTTCTTGATTTGTAAATTTGTGTCCTGTAGAGTTATGAATAATGACTTAACAAGTTCTTCTCACAGAGAAAAGAGACTTATGTCAACCCTCACAAGTTGATACATCTGAGTTCTCATTAACCTGGGTTGAGTTTGGCACATAATTACTTTGTGTTGGAGGTGGCCACTATCACAAACTTCTGAAAAAAGTGGTCATAATATAATGAGGATGTTCACTAATAACTTGCACCCATAAATGAAGGAGAGAGACCACAAGTTTCACACTATGCATTTTAGACTTTATTTTACTTAATAAAGATTAATTCTCAATTCCAATTTGATAAGTGATTTGGAAATCATTACAGTCCTAATGATAGAATGTTAATTCCTGTCCAGATGTTTAATCTTTTCTAAAAGACCAAGGGAAAATTATTATTTTAAGTAGTAAGGATTCTTATGATAAAATTTTATACCAGCATTTGAAAATGTTTAGAGCCAACTGAAAATAGAAATACGGAACTCAGCAGAGAAGGTGATGTTTTGGTCATACTCTTAACTACTGTTTATTCTTGCAGTGGTGCTTGCTCTCCCAATTAGCTTCATTCTCAGTATTTTAAACAGTTATGTCTTGTTCATGTTAGTATATGTATTGCTGCTTCTGAATAGGCAGCCATCTTTCCCTGCTTTTCCTGAGAACACAACTCTTTTTAAAATGTCATCCTGTTGGTGTATATCATCTCTAAGGTAAAACACTGTATATAGGCATTTGGGAAAATTGACTTAACTTTTCTTCTTTCTCTGCTTATAGAAATTCAAACTTCATGTTTAGATTTATTTTCTACTTAGTTGTTGACAAGTCAGTCTTCAAATGTGTTATATTAATTTAATTTTAAATAGAAGTAGCGACAGAGAACTTAAATACATTCAAGAGTATTTGTATGTCAAAAGTCAGTTTTACAGAGGAGTATACATGAAATTTTAATTTCTGAGAGCACTCATAGCAACAGTAAATAAATTATCTGGTCTATTACATCTCTGACATTTCACACCTTTATAATGTCTAAATAGTATTATAGAATGGTTGCTATCTTGTATTTATTATACTACCTTTTCTCACTTTCCTCTGTTTTTTTGTTCCTCTCCTCTGTTTTTCTTTCACTACTTATCAGTTTAAGCAGCTCCACAAGAAATGTGGAAGGTTCTTTGGAAGGGTTTCCAAACTCTTCTACCTTTTCTTCTCCTGCTAGATACAGTGCTGCAGTTCTGAGTTAGTGCAGCTGCTACTGTGTCTGCTGTTATTGCTGCAAGAACCAGGTAGAATGACGTGTGCAGTGTTTGTCTGATGTGATCCCAGCACACTTCACTGTCTTACAAGTCACCTCAGAGAAAACATACCTGTTTCTAACAATCACAGCTCTAATAAGAGCTCTTAATTGTATAGTGATATTTTAACTTGGTTGTGGATAAATCCCAAAGTGTTGGTAACTGATTTTTTAAAATATCATCTTTTTCTCTCTTTCCATTACTGCCATTTTTGTATGATATTTCTCTGTCGTGTGGACTATTACATGTTGTATGCATATTATCTTTGGGTTTTTTACAACTTACATTTTTATTGTTGAAACGAAATCAAGTATAAATAGGTATTTTAAGTTTCTATTGATTTTATCTTCTCTTACAACCTTTAGAGGATAATCTAAAGCCTAACTATTCTTTGAAACACCTCTTCCCCTACAAAAAAATAATACAATTGTTTTATTTTTGTGTTTCTTTGTTTCTACATAATTTCTGTAGTCTTTATGGCTTTAAATGCTTTCCAAAAGATTGCCTTGACCAATTTTGGTGAAAGTTTAATCAATTTTATATTAATGAGTAAAATGTAATAAACTCTTAACCCTTTTCTTCCACTTTCACTGCATTGAACGTCCCCTCTCTCTTCCTCTCCCTACTTCCTGTCTCTCAAAAGAAATGTTTCAAACCATAGACCTTAAAAACTACTTTGTTATTGGTAGTGCGATTTTTAACTTAAAACTCTTTTTAAATGCTTGCTAGGCTCTCCAGTCCTGAAAAATATCAGCCACTCCTGGATGCGCTTTGCATCAGTCCTATTTCCAAGCCTTTAGCATTTTCCTATCTCCAGTCCTCCAGGAAATCAACAGGCTCTGTCCATATTAAGAAAACAAGGTACTGTGGTATGGCAAGTGGAGGTTTGCTGTTGAGGATATTGCTTTCTCTAACACTTAACCACCGTATTAACAGGCCAGATGAGAACATCCTAGAGCTGATTTGTGCCCAATTTTAAATTAACTGTAATTTCAATGCAGTGCTAATGCACAAGCATGTTACTTTGTATGATTATTAATTCACCTTTTAACACTTTGTGACACCTTTCATTAGCATACTTGATGTTTGGTATGAAATTATGAGTAACTGTGGGAATATTTAAATTACTGTAGAATCCTGTCTTTATTGCACAGATGTAGCTATATTAGAATAGTCAAATATTTAGTATGACCTACCTTTTGAAAAAATAAAAAAGAGTAATAAAATAATTGATTTTGATTGGCTACTATCTTATAATTCTTAAAGGTTTTGCTTGGAAAAGCAACTTAATTTTCACTATATCTAGTAAATTCTAAAACACAAAAATTAATTTTGCTCCTAAACTGAAATAATTGTGCCAAAAATTATTAAGCATATTATAAAAAATTAAAAATATCCCAAGTGTTTGCTTTAGATATATTCTCAGTGAAATAACTGAATAAAATCATTTTTGACAGAACATAAAACCAATGGCAGAGTTTACAACTGTGACTACAGTTAGTAAAAACCTGATATATCTAAATGAAAAGAAATCTTCCATTGGCAAGGATAAGTTTGTACAGAGATACGTTACTGACTACACTTGGAGAACACTTTTGAGTACTTGAATATACTTAGACTACACTTTGAGAACCTAATGGAATGCTATAGATTGTCTCTCTGGAAAAGTGCTTATGTTCACATACACACAAAAGTGTGCATACGGTTGTGTACCGACTGAAGCTTTCCATGGGCCCACTTCTAGAGCAGGTATTAGTCGCCATTACCATTGCTTTTTATTAATAGTAATGGGGCACGAACAAGGTATATTTTGATATTTGAGAAAGGTTCTTGACAAGATAGGCTCATTGTCATTATGAAAAGCAGGAATGTGAGGTTTCCTAATAAGATCCTTGCTAACTTAGTGAGAGGGGTACCGAAAAGAGCATATGAGATAGTGTCAGAGATTTTATCTCTGAATTTTTGCTTTTATATGACAATAATCTTTAAAATCATGACTATAGTATAATATCAAACTTGTTTATTTCCAGCATAGTATAATTAGCACTTCAAATTTTGGTGTAAAAATTCTAAGTTAATTAATTCTGCTTAGGAAAATATAAAAAATGTTCTCTTATAAACAGAATTCTGGAAGGAAGGGCACTCATGACCTCTCTATATATCCACATCCTTTTATAGAGTTCCAACAGAAGAGTTCTATAGAATAAAAAGTTGCTCATAATTAAGGCCCTTCCAACCATTTCAGAGTCTGTATATTAGTATATCATTTTTCCTAAATATTTAGCTAAAAACTGTTTAACTTAAACATTGGTAATTAAACACATGATATACACTTGGCTTTATAAAAATTTAAACATATAATTACATTAATGGTTATTCCTAAGACTATTTTTCAAGAAGTTTTTCTTTTGAAAATAGACTTAAAATTGCCAAATGAACACATGATATACACTTGGCTTTATAAAAATTTAAACATATAATTACATTAATGGTTATTCTTAAGACTATTTTTCAAGAAGTTTTTCTTTTGAAAATAGACTTAAAATTGCCAAATTTTACCAATCTGAAACTGAACTTTACTTTTTGTAATAGTTAAACAAATGTGGGAAAGGAATGTAAATTCAAGATAAATCAGGTTATTGACACTGAAAGTCAACATTTCTTCCCATTTTTTTTTCCTTTCAGTAGCTCAGTTTTGAAAAGAAACCTTTGCTCTGTTAGTATACTTTTCTCCATTTTCAGTTTTCGAAATATGAAACAAAACCCTTGGTAGTTCTATAATAGCTAGAGGAGAGGCTTTTGAATGTTTTCACCACAAAGAAAAGATAAATGCATGATGTAACTGATATACTAACTATCCTGACCAGATTATTATATAACTTCTATATGTATCAAAATATCCAACTGCACCCTATAATAATGTACAATTACAATGTGTAAATTAAAAATTTTTTGAAACCCTTCAAAATTATAGAAATAGAACTCATATTAATGTATCATTTCATTTCCATCTTTGTTATTTGGCAGACTAGTGAAAATGACCATATTTGATTCTCAGCATCTGTGGTATTAGCCAAGGGTATTTGTGGATTTACACTGATTTCCTCATTAGAATCCTTTAGAAAGCATTTTAATTTTGTTTAGAATTTAGGTACACCTTAAAATTTTTAATTTAGAAAAAATATATTTGGATCATGAATTCAGAAATAAGATAGCAATCTAAATAACAATGCCATACTATCTTAATAAATTAGTCACTAATTTTAGAATATTTTGCTGCTAGTGATTATTAATTACTGACATTTTATCCCCAAACATAAAATAATATGGCCAATGACTTTATTTATTCTTTTATCTTTAGTACATTATACCTAATGTTTATGTGCTTTCTGTAAATAATAGCTACTAGTTAAAAATTAAGAAAAAAGACATGTTATATTTTTAGAGACTTAGGCATTACATATTCAGATATATGATTGTCTAGATAAAGCCTAATATTCTTCTATTACTACATTAAATGTCTTAAGCAAATAAGGATCTATTTCCCTAGAGAAAGTTGAGCTGGTGATCAACCCTGAATGTAAACATAAGTGGAACAACTTTCTTGTTTGTAACTTAGATTTTTATAAATTCTTTATAATCTGCTTCAAGCCTTTTGTATCTAAAGTGTACTGTTTAAGATTTAAACATCTTAAATCTCTTGGGAGAGAATGTATACAAGCCTGTGTACAAAGGACACAATCTGAAATTAGAATGTTTTTTAGCTTACATGATACTTATTCTATGGGAATTTTAAGAAATATTGTGTTATTTAAAATTGAATTGAGGAAGCAAGATTGTATCTGGGGTCCATATCCTGGACCCAAACTCTCCACAGACTACATTTAGAAACAAAATTTTTTAATACAGATGAAGGGTGATTATTTAGTAAATGTTCGAGGGTACTTCAAAAAGTTTGTGGAAAAATAGAGTTGAAAATACGAATTTTGCAATGAACTTTTTGAAGTACCTTCGTACTTTTTGCTAATCTTATCACTACTTGACTAGATATTATAGGATGTAGAAATAATAATTTCTATCATTTCTTGAGCTCGTGGTCTGTGCTGGGCTCTATGCTAAATACTTTTTATGTGTAGTCTCGTATCTCATTTAATTCTTACAATAACCTTGGAATAAAAGTAATATTTTATACCATTTTACAGATAAGGAAATTTACCAAGTTTAAGTAACGTACACAAGGTTGCGGTAAAGTCCCCAACCTTAGGTAGTTTATAATATAAAATGTATTTTTCATATTAGTATTTACTTCCTTTTATTGAACCAAATCTATCTCACTGTAGATTCAGCTCATTTATGATGTAGTGGAGGAGGTAAGATACATAAAAAAGTTACTGTTAATAGTAATAAAGCAGCAACTGCAAATCAGTGTAGAATTATATGCCATGTGGTTAATAAGTTCCATGAATTAAAAGAAGGGATTGTCTCTACTTCTAGAAGCTTGAGTGACTAAATAAAATAATGTTTATTGCTTAGCATGCAGCACAGTGCATGATGGATATTACTGTTACTTCTACTGTCATTAATTACAGATAGGATTTGAATGAGTGCTGAGAGAGGGTGGGGAGAGGTACCTACTGTGTAGAGCCTGGGAAAAAATGTAGAATTGTGGATAGATAGTAGGGGTGGTCAGAATATAGTTTGTATAGCATGGTGATAGGAGATATGATTAGACAGGAAGATTGTAGCTTTATCTTAGAAGCTTTGAATGTCATGCTGAAATGTAACTTAAGCCTCAACCCTCTGAATGGTTAAATCTGGTCTATAGCATTTCCAGTCTCTGCTTAAGAACCTTCTGGAGACAGGGCTATCATGAAGGAGTGGTTAGGGACAAAAAATTTTTGGATGATTTTTTATATTAGGAAGTACTTCTTTTTAATGAAGCAAATCTATCTCACTATAGATTTGACTTGGTGACTTTTGGCAAACAGTGTATTCACTCTATGTGGAGCCACACAGAGTGAATCCACATGTCTGATATTTGAAGATTGCTTTCATGCTTCTCCTTAGTGTTTTTTTCATACTCTGGGCCAGTATTTCTGGTTCTCTCACCCAGCTTTATTAGGCTTGGCATTGAATTCCTGCCATCACTCTCTTCTAAGTTTGTCTGGCAACTCTCTTGGAATTAAATTTTAATATTACTAAACATTAAACGATGATGATTTGTGTTTTGTTGTTTCCAGAGTATATTTTTGTTTCATCTATAACTTCTAGTATTGGTTGGTCATAAATTTTCTTCTTAGAACTGTGACTATGTAGAAAATGGTTATTTTTGGTCAAATCCCATCTGTGACTATGTAGATAATAGTTATATTTTGTCAAATCCCATCAGTAATTTAATCCTAGAATAAAAATAACTGTACGTAGTATTTCAAAAATTATTTATTTATAATGAGCGAAAATATTGAAAATGTCTTACTTTTATTTTTTGAGTACATTAATCATCCTTTTCATATATTAAGCTCATAATTTATGCCTTAGAGTATGCTGAACACTTTATACATGATTATCTTATTTAAGCCTCATGGACATCTTACCAGCAAAGTATTATCCCCATTTAAAGTTTCGGTAACTGAGGCTTGGAGAAGTGAAATAATTTGTCCATCACAGAGCTTTTAGTAGATGCTCATTACCACTGTATTATAATGTTTGAACTCTGTTTCCGTTAACGCTTTTTGTTGTGTTGCCTTTACTGATAATTGTGTTCAACATTCTCATTAAGTTAGCAGTGTTCCTTTTTTTATTTATGATAAAAATTGTTAAAGTGCTTAAATTTTTGTTGTAGATTTTATTTTTTCATGGAACTTATCAGAAATAATAAAAGAAGGTTAAAGTGCTTAAATTTTTGTTGTAGATTTTATTTTTTCATGGAACTTATCAGAAATAATAAGTTTCTGATAGCTCTATTTCATTTAAATTTGAGAGAATAAGAATAGGGAACAATATTTCAAGGAAGTTAAAGTATCTTCAGTGTGATTTTTCAAAATTGTTTAGTGTCAGAGGTGCCCCAGGACCACCCCCAGGTTTGATGTTTCACTAGAAGGACATACAGGACCTAGCATATAGTTGTACTCATGACTAAATTTATTACAGCAAAAGAATACAAAGCAAAATCAGCAAGGAAAAAGACACCCGGGACCAAGTCTAAAGGAAACATGGCTCAGAAACGTGGCTCAAGTTTCCAAGAGTCCTTTCCCAGTGGAGTCACACAGGACGTGCTTAATTCCTCCAGCAACGGGTTGTGGCAAAACATGCAGTGTTGTCTAACAGAGAAGCTCATTAGAGACTAAGTACCCAAAGCTTGTTACATAGGCATCCAGTGCCCAGTTCATACTGAAAGTCAGAACTCTCAGAAGGAAAGCAGGTGTTCAGAATAAACCATATTGTTTATACAAACAGTTTAGGCACAATAAGCCACTCTTATCACTGAGAGAAAGTTTTATATCACTGTAGGAAACAGTTTACCAACCAAGTTCCCACATGCCAGTCAAGGACCAACCTTGCAATCAGGTGTTTCTAAGGATAGGCAGTCTCAGGCCTGCTTCATTAGGTATCTGAGATTCAAGAAGCATTGCGGAAAATAGGTACTTTTGTTCATTTGATAATAGAGTGGATATGATAGAATTTGAAGTTTCTTGTCATTGAAATAATTTCTACTTAAACAATATAATTAAGGGTATTTATTTTACTGAAATCATTAATATAGTACCCTATCTTTTATCAGTCTATTCTAGCTGTTGATTTCAGTTATTTAAGGAATTAAGTTTCTGGCAAGGAGTTATTTAAGCAACCAGTACTGAAAAGTTATATAGTAGGAAGTATTATTTTGTTGTTGTTGTTATTATTATTATTATCATTATTATCATTATACTTCACTTGAGAGAAATAACCACTGCTGTAGAATTATATCATTCCAAAGTGTATATTTCATAATTTGGCTTCCTCAAATTATGTTTTAAATGATGTACTATATATAATTATAAATGACAAAAGGCTTGGTAAAATGTTCTTATGATCTTCTAAACCAAACTGGAATCAGCACAGATAAGGTCTCCTGTTAAGCAAATAACTCTGGCTGAGAGAAGATAATGGTAGTTTTATATCATTTTCCCTGTATTATGAACACAGAACACTGGACATTCTGTGAGGTGGGGGATGTTATCTCATTTATCGGTGTGTGGCAAGTGCATAGCACAACATCTGACATATATAGTAGGTGCTTAAATATTTACTGAATGAGTGAAAGAGTGAGTATGCAAGTGAAAAGAGTAACTGGTGAGGTGTCAGGAAAACTTAGCTCATAAAATGCCAGAAGAATGTGGGAGAGGGGAAGCATTCTATGCCATTTCATAAAGATTATCAGGGATTCTCCAATAATTTATTGTTTTAATCTTGATTACTCTTCTGAAATGATGAGACAAAGAGGAATAGGGAAAAGAAATTAGCTGATCATTTAAGGGATTGGCTGTATAAGTTTTTCAAGTAGCCTAATATCCTATGGTAAATCTTTCTATTTAAAGATTGTTTCCAAATTACAAAGCAGATGCGATCTGGTTCCCTTCCTTTCCTTTCCTTTTCTTGTTTTCTGTTTTAAAGAGAGGCAATCTCTCAATCATGATTTTAAAATTTTTCTATTTTTTTTAAGAAAAATATTAATTTTTTTGTTTTCTTCAAAGATTTAATAGATTTCAAAAAGAAAGGATTATTGCTAGGTTAAATTGCTACCACTTGGGCCGGCCCGGTGGCGCACTGGAGAGTGCATGGCGCTCCCGCCGAGGGTTCGGATCCCATGTGGAGACCGGTTCCCGCTCACTGGCTGAGATTGGTGCGGCCGCAACACTGAGGGTTGCGATCCCATTGCCGGTCCTCGGTACGGGCGCGACACCGAGGGTTGCGATCCCGTTACCGGTCAGTAAAAAAGACAAAAAAGGAAGAAAAAAAAAAATTGCTACCACTTCACCAAAAATATTTCCTTATTTCCTTTATAGTAATGCTGAGGAGCCTTCTCAGCAATGGGCTTCATCAGTAGCTTCAGCACGGAGCATGCCGGAGAGCCTGGAAAGCCCAGGCTCCAGCAGACCAGGCGTGGCTGGCCTTACAACTGCGGCCGCCTTCAAGCCTCCAGGATCCACGAGTGTTATCAAGTCACCAAGCTGGCAACGGCCAAACCAAGCAGGTATTCCAAAGAAATCTCTTGCTTCTTACTTTTCTTAAGTGAGGGTAATTATGAAAATGTGTTCTGAGATATATGATAGGATTCACTAATGAAACCCGTTCTCAACTATCTAAGATTTAGAAAGGTCTGTAAAAAGTAGATATACCTATTTGAGTCTCATAAGCATTCTCTGTGCATGTTTGATACATTCACCATTTGCTATTCATAATTGTAGAATTGAGCATTTCCTTGTTCCCCAGATTACTCAGTATGCTTGTGTTGAATTATAAATTTGGAATTTCATAACTAACTATATTGTTAGGTTATCCTTGGAAATGCATCATTTTAGTTTTGATGATATGTGCAAATAGCAACAACAGAAGCATCTATTGCTATCAAACAACTATTGAAGAAAGGATTTTTTCTTGTTCTCTGAAGATTTATGAGGCAGAAGGGGAAGAAGGACACAGTATTAGAAAGAGGACATTTGAATGGTACGATGAAACAACTTGAGCTGAGTCTAGAAACCTGAGTTCTCATTCACTTCCACAGATAAATTACTTTATTAAATAAAGTCATTTAACCTCTTTGACTTTCAGTTTTCTGATCTGCAAAATGAAGGGAGACTGAATCATTTCCTGTTTCTCCCAGCATGAACAAGGTTATGATTATATAATGAAAGTACTTCTTTTAACAGAAGACGGGACTATACTTAAGTGTTTCCAATCTAAAGCTCAGCCTTCATCTCTTCTTACTCTTCATACTCTCCCTGGATGACCTCTCATCCAAGTTCCTTTTACTACCTAGCCATTGATAATTTACAGTCCTCTCTCTCCTGGACTTCATATCCTCAAACCCATTAACCTATTTGCTGTATCTTGGTGGCACAAGTGCAGCATGTCTGAAAATATCATTCCCTTTTGGTGGGAATGGCACATCTGCTCACCAAAGCTAGAATGTACACTTTAGATCCTTCGCCCCACCATTCTCACAGTAGCTAACACATAATGATTCTACCTCTTAGTATTTCTCAAATGTCTTTTCTCCTGTCTGTCCTCAGAGCCACTGCCTTGGTTCAGGCCTTCGTCATTGCAACTAATTTAATAAGGAATCCATATTTCTTGTATTTTCCACAGTGTTAAATATGTTAGATACTAAATAAATTCCAGTATTATAAATAAATTATGTTTAGAAAAGAACTAATTATTTATACGATTTATTTTGTAGTGGCATTTGTTACATGTTGCTAATTTTGTAAAATAAACTAGAATTATTTATGTTGTGGGAGAAAGAGTATATGTCATTGCATATAATCTAGACTATTTTATACTTTTAAAAGCTTAAAATATTCAGGCTAATATTAGCCTCTGAAATTTCTGGACTATTAATTGACTTAGCAAGACCTATTCTCTTTGGGGGAAAATGCTGACAAGGCTCAGCCATATACATTTGAATTGTTTCCATTTACTTAAAGCTTGTGTATGACAATGGAGATTTGCTGTAATTATTTTGTATGTACATTTGAATACAGAAAGTAACTTTTAGAAAAATCCCTTGGTATGGTCATTGGAAGCTAACAGGAGAGTGTTTTGTAAAATAAGGAGGGAAAGATTAAATTTCTGAGGGAGAAACTGAAGGGAGGGCACAAAGTATATATACAGTGGAGGGCAGAAAGTGTATATACTGCCTTTGGAAGTTCAGAAATTTATGGTCAAAATATATTGGAAGCTAACAGGAGAGTGTTTTGTAAAATAAGGAGGGAAAGATTAAATTTCTGAGGGAAAAACTGAAGGGAGGGCACAAAGTATATATACAGTGGAGGGCAGAAAGTGTATATACTGCCTTTGGAAGTTCAGAAATTTATGGTCAAAATACTGCTCTGCCTCTTAAAAGTGGAAAGAAAATATTCTAATTCATGTGAACTCCTAGAGAATACAGTACAGCAAGATTACCACAAGAGGGCGATGGAATACTTTCTTCTCTGAGTCTAACTAAGCAAAGCAGGCAAATAACAGCAACTATAATCATGATTTACATGGTTAGTATTTAAAACATTATGCTTCTTCCCCAGAAAATGTATGTGAATTTAATATGATCAAAACTATAACAGTATGACATTTTGTAACATTATATAATAATATTATAAAAAGAAAATGTTTTCCCTTGTGAAGACATAATTGAAATTACATCAATCTTTAGCTCAAATCAGAAAATATTTGCTGAGTTCCTGCTGTTTATCTCGCTCTACGTGTTATAAACTGACATTTAATAAGTTATTTTGTTATGTAAAAGTTACTTATTTTATACTATTTTGTAAAATTATAAAATAAATGCAAAATTCCCAACCACTGAAATTCTTTTATTCTGCCCTAATGCAATACCATATTTAAAACAACAACAATAATAACAACAAAAATCTCAAAATCTATTCTTAGTCTTGGTAGTTTCAAGCACTTCCTAATGCAAATGAAAAACTTCTTTGATTTGGATGATAGCTGTGTCATTATAGGTTCTTGTGTACTTACAACTCACCTGTGAAAACAACAGTGCCAACCAAAGGGCTATAGAAGCTGGAAAGCTGAGTTCTTGGGCTTGTATGGATAAGAAAAAGCATTAAAGCAGGTGGATTGTGTAGATTTTGCTGCTCTCACACGGAAAGCTTCAGGGGTCTTTCCCAATAATACATAGCTGTGCTCTAGCATTGGCAAAAAAAGGAAAACAATAGATGTGATTCCTTTCTGCCACACACACAGATCATGGAAGAGAGAATATTACCAGTGATATCATTTTAAAATAATTCCTAGAGTAGGGAGGGAGGGGATCAAAATCACTAATTTGCAGTCCATGACCCACGTAGATGATCCCAAAATCAGTTTAGTGGATTATAGTCAGTCAGTTTAGTGGATTGTAGCCAGCATTTTAAAAAATGAACTAGAATGGTGTAGAAAATATCAGAATATTAGAACATATTAAGTATTTTAACATATAGGTATCATATTTTAAAAATATGGTTTTAGTTTATACACATATATATACTTACATTTAAGTAATTGTGTGTATACATGCATGCAAGCAAACATATTTTGGATCAGAAGATAAAGTATATTTCCTACTATGTTTTACAGTTTAAAAAAAAGTTTGAAAGTCACTAATTTAAAGTATTTTAGTAACTTTTGCTTTTCATCCAAATTTTATTTTATTTTGTCAATATACAATGTGGTTGATTATTGTGGCCCATTACCAAAACCTCACTCCTCCCTCTCCCCCCTCACTCCCAACAGTGTCCTTTCTGTTCATTTGTCATGTCAATTTCAAGAAATAGTAATTGTGTCTTCTTCCCCCCGCCCCCCCGTTTTTTTGTGTATTTATTTATTTATTTTTAGCTCCCACCAGTAAGTGAAAACATGTGATATCTCTCTTTCTGTGTCTGACTCGTTTCACTTAATATAATTCTCTCTAGGTCTATCCATGTTGTTGCAAATGGCAGTATTTCATTCTTTTTTATAGCAGAGTAGTATTCCATTCTGTAGACATACCACATTTTCCGTATCCACGCATCTGATGATTAACATTTGGGCTGGTTCCAACTCTTAGTGATTGTAAATAATGCTGCAATGATCATTGGAGAACAGGTATACCTTTGACTTGATGATTTCCATTCCTCTGGGTGTATTCTCAGCAGTGGAATAGCTGGGTATATGGTAAGATCTACCTGCAGTTGTTTGTGGAAACTCCATACCATTTTCCATAAAGGCTGCACCATTTTTCAGTCCAACAGTGTAGGAGTGTCCCTTTTTCTCTGCATCCTCACCGACATTTATCATTCTCAGTCTTTTGGATATTAGCCATCCTAACTGGAGTGAGATGGTATCTCAAAATGGTTTTGATTTGCATTTCCCGAATGCTGAGTGATGTTGACCATTTTTTCATATGTCTGTTGGCCATTCATATATCTTCCTTTGTGAAATGCCTATTCAGGTCCTTTGCCCATTTTTTAATTGGGTTACTTGTTTTTTCACTGCTAAGTTGTTTGAGTTCCTTGTATATTCTGGGTATTAATCCTTTTGTCAGATGTATATTTTGCAAATATTTTCTCCCACTCTGTTGGTTGT